AAGGTAGGCGTGATGTCATGGGTCTTTAACAGCAGCACTTCAGGAGGAAAGCAGAGACAGATGGATCCTGGGTAATTGCTGGCCAGCTGAAATGGACAGCTCCAGATTCAGTGAAGAGACCTTATTTCAAAACATGAGGTGGAGAAGTGATTGAGGATATCACTAATTCCATTTTTTGCCTTCACACGTACTTGCACAAGTGAGTACTCACACATGCATAAGTCATGCACACACACAGAAACTAAATATTTTTTTATAAATTAAAAATTATTATGGTGATCTATCACATCAATCAGCTGAAGGACAAAAGGTCACACAATGCTATCAACAAACCCTGAAAAGCCTTTAGTGGAAGTACACACAAAAGGACATATCCATTCAGAGTTGTAAAACCAAAAAAAAAAAAAAACACTTCTTACACTGGGGACAGAGGGAAGCTTCTCGACCTAGAAAACATCCAAAGGCCTGCAGCAGACTCCACACTCCCTGCTGATCAGGATCTCATAGGACTGAGACTAGCAGAGCAAGGGACACTGCTCTCACTGCCACAGTGTCATGGCAGTGGAACTCCTGGATGACTCATTAACACAGGCAAGAAACCAAAAGGTGCACAGATAGGATGACAAAAGTTAAGCTTCGCCCAAGAAAAACATGATTGACTTTTACAGAAAATTGCAAAAAATCAACAATATGTATAAAACAACACTCTTACAATTAATTTGTGTCCATAGAAAGGTTGCAGAATATGAGGTTGTGGTGTAAGATTCGTTAACCTTCTACTATATCAGTAATGGGCAGACAATTAATGATACTATATCATTTACAGTTCCACTGAAAGTTATAGTACCACCAAAAGTCATGTCCATAGGACTTAACCATAGGAAAGATGTGTGATATACATGAGAAAAGCCATGTGCAAGTCTGTGCAAGGAGAAAGAACTCAGCCAATAGAGGGATCTCAATACTGTCAGCCTCTAAGCTCTTCCCCACAGGACCTCTTCATTCAACACAATTTCAATCAAAATCCTACCAAGTTCTCTGATGGATATTGACAAACTGGTTCATACATTTACAGAGAGAGGCAATATACTCAGGTGAGTTAACATAATGCTGAAAATAAAAGTCAGAGGTCTCACGTTACCTGACCTTAAGACTTATGACCCAGTTACAGGCATCGAAGTGCCATGGGACTGATGATTTAATAGAAAATAAATCAATGGGACAGAAATAGTTCCACACAAATTACCTTTGAAAACCAGCAGAGGCAATTCAAGGGAAATTTTTCAGCAAATGGATCTGTAATGACTGGGTGAACACACAAAAGGAAGACAGATCTAAACGAAGACTCCATGCTTCTCACAGAAATGAATGTGAAATGAATCGTACATGTAAGTCCTTCTACAATTTAAAATTCAAACCATACAGCACTAGATGAACTACATAGGTTTTAAAAGACAGAGAACACATGATATTGGGAGAACAGAGGTGGGGGGATGTGGCAGGGTAATTGGAAGGGAAGGGATGGGAGATGGATTTGACCAAAAGAAATTATATGCATGTATGAAATTCTAACTCGGCAAAAAGATAACTTCTAGAAGATGAGATGGGAGAAAATAAATGACTTGGACTTGCTGTTAACTTTATAGATACAACATCAAAAGCATACACAAATAAAATAACTGATAGATTAGATTTCATGAAAGGCAAAAGCTTCCACTCTAGAAAAGGCACTGCTGATCAAATGACAAGTCACAGATTAGAGGAAATTATTTGCAAAACATATATCTGAAGAAGGACTTCTATGAAAAATGTGTAGACAGTTCTTTTTAAAAGTCACCTACAGAAAGGTTAGAATCTGTCAATAAAGACAATAAAGTGCAAGATCCAAAGGCAGCACACATCATCAGCTGTACTTCTTCCCAACAGCAGTGAGTGGTTTGAGAGGGGAATTTCCATAGCAATTGCATTCACAATAGTCTCAAACAAAAGAGAATTAAGAATGAAGCAAGAAAGTGTAAGGACTGTACAATGAAGTTAGGAAACACTGCAAAAATAAAATCAAGAGGAAGTAAGGGAAGAAAAAAAACACTCATAGGCTCATTTAAGATGTAAATACTTCCAAGGAAACCTACAGACCCAAATCCCAATGGCAGGTTTAGCAGAAACAGAGGGGCATATCCTAAAATTCACTTACATTATTAATGGACCTTAAATAGTCCCTATAATCTTAAACTCCCAAATCTGCTACCAATTCACAGTAACCAAAACAGTATGGTGTTGACATAACATTAGACAGAGACCAGTGAAACAGAACAGAGATCCCAGAAATAAATCCTAACACACATGGTCCAATGACTTCTAAAAAGAATGTCAAAAATTTTCGATTGTTTTCCTGAGAATTTTTTCTGGGAAAACTGGATATTCTCATACAGAAGAATGAACTTGGGTCCTTTCCTTCACCACACCAAAACTTAACTCAAAATGTATCAAAGACCTAATCTAAGATCCAAAACAACAAAACTCTTAGAAGACAGCATCGCCAAGATGCTGGAATTAAGAGTGACTTTCTGTGTATGGCTCCTGAGTCACAGGTGACAAAAAGCAAATAAAACTACTCAAGTAAGACTTTGTGGTAGCTGAAAAGGTTTCAGCATCAAAGGATAGTATCAGCAAGTTGAAAAGACAATGGGAAGAAGTACTTGCATTATTTTTATCCAGAATAGAGAACATGTGCAACTCAACAACAAATGACTTGATTCAAACATGGGCAAAACAATCCTCCAAAGGAAACATACACAAAGCTTATTAAGTCCATGGAAATATGTTTATCATCACCAATAAACATTAGAGAAATGAAAACAAATGCTGTGATAAGTGAGGACCTCCCATCTACTAAGATGTTTACTAGTGAAGACTGTATCAGGTTTCTCCAGGATGTGGATGGAATGTAGCCTTGTGTGAGGCTGCTGAGCGAATGTCAAATAGGACAGCTCTGTGGGAAGAGTAGTTCTTAAAGTAAACAAATACATGATTACCATAGAGTTCAACAATTCCACTTCTGGGTATTTACCCAAAGAAATCTAAAACCGGTTTCAGTGGGACACTTGCCAACCCATGCACTTCCAAGTATTATATACAACTAAAGCATGAAAACTAGTTAGATGTTCATGCATGAATATGTACACTGTTGTATGCCTAATGTGGAATCTTATGAGGCCTAAAAGAGAGGAATTGTGGTATGTGCAACAACATAGAAGTCCCTTGAGGATGTGATGCTAAGTGGGATAAAGCATTTGAAGAAAATTTAAATACATTATGTGTCTGCTTACATGAGGTAGAAAAGTTGCCATCATAGAAGGGGTAAGTAACAAAGGTTACTGTAGGTGGATATTGCAATGGGTGTGATCATTCAGTGGGTGTTATCAGGGTGATTCCCCAGGGTCAGGGAGCAGGTAGGGATGGGGCTTGTTTATTGAGAACAGAATGCTTTTCACAAAATAGAAAGCCATGGAGACTGATAGCAAGTCCATGTGGATGCCACACCACATGGTTATGAGAAAACAGTAATTTTCAAAAATTAGGGAGTGAGCTAGTAAACTACAAAGGGCATAGAGGAATCTATGCAATATTGCTTAGTAAAAGGAGCCAGCCTGGAAGTGCTGTAACATAAGATTCAATGATAATGATGCATGAGTACTAAGAGACATATGAGGTCAGCAATTTGCAACCGTGTTTCCCCTTCACATCTTCCTATGATTTCCCATCCACTGTGTGTAGTGAAGGTATTTGGGAGGTCATAAAGAAACAGACCCAAAGTTCCAAAATCTTTATGAACTAATCTGCTTCTCCAAATGATTCACTTAGGAAGAAGCACCTATTCAGGATCAGCTCCATTGCAGATTTCCCTCCATTGCAAGATCTTCCCCCTGCAGGATCTCCCCAGTGCAGGGATACTCCCACTACAGGTTCTCTTCCCTATAAGAGCATCCTCTCCTGCCGCAGGATCTCGCCTACTGAATTATATCACCCATTGCAGGATCCCCCACTGCAGGATCCTCTTCACTGTAAGATTCCACACACTGAAGAATGAACTCCACCGCAGCATCCTGCCACCATGTGATCTGCCTCACAGCAGGGTCTCACCCATCGCATGGTCTTCCTTCCCTGCAGAATCCCTCACTCCAAGTGCCCATGCACTGTAGCATTCCCCCACTGTAGGATCCACTCATTGCAGGGTCACACCCACCATAGGAGTTCCCTCCCAATTAGAGGACCCCACCACTCAAAATCACACCAACTACAGAATCAGTATCTTTAGGACTTTGAAACTTTCAGACATTGAGCCAAGCATAGTGATACAATCCTATAAACCCAGCTATTTGGAAGATTAAGACAGTTGACCACAATTCAAGGCCAACCTGTAGGGCCTGACATGTATAACATGTGATACCAAAAGAAAGGAATAGAAGAATGAGGAGACGAAAGAGATTGGCAAACTCTTGATCCTGTCATTCCTCCAGAATTATTTGGAGCCCAACTAGGTTCTGAGAAGCCCACCTGCTTCAGGGTTGCAGTGGCCTGATGTGACAAAGCCTATCTCCAGCCTCCTAGAACCCTCCAAGAGGCAGACCCTGGCCACTCTTTAGTCCTCTGTGATTTGTAATTTCCGTTCTTCCTTCCATACAGATTTTTTTTCCTATTTCATAGAAATGAGAACCCCTTGTCCAGTGACAGCACTTCCTCCATGTTGCTGTGCTCAGCTGTATACCTCTCTGCCTCTGTCTCACAGTCTAAGCTGGCAGTAGACAGAAACTGCACAGCTTCCTTCCAGCTGTGAGATCACTGTGGGGTCTGATGCCTACTCAGCACAGTCTGTAGAATCTTACTTCATTCTTCCTTTGGCAGGATCCTAATGTTCCTTATAAAAGACAGATGGGGACTCCAGGGGAGCAGAGACAGTAACACCAACTCCTGAGGCCTCCAGCTTCCATTCTGAAACCTTTGACTCAACATGCAGATCTTCACAGTGCTTCTATGCCTGTTGCTTCTAATAACTGCCACCATCCACCCACAAGTGTTGGCTGCACCAGGTGAGACTTTTCCTTGCCCAATCTTTTAGCACATCTCAGAGTTACTGTGGGGTCTGCAGTTTTAAGATAGACTAGTACTACAGGAGAAGTTACAAAAAGCCATTGTGCCACAGCTAGCCAGAGCCAGAACCAAGTGCTCATACCTCTGAAGCCAGACCCTGCGATGTATCATGACACCAGCTCCTGGACAAGATGCTGCATGCAGCCACTACAGATAATGCCCTAGCATTGTTGGGAAAGGTGGCCCAGACGTGGCCCTATAGGTGACAAGGACATCTCAAGTAATAAAGGAGTGACAGGAATTAAAGCTAGAGTCATGGTCCAGAACAGCAGCTGCAAGTGGATACTGGAGAGCCTTCTTAGGCTAAAAGTGGGTTGATTCTAAACCCACAGCAGCAAGTGATGGACTTAAAGTTCTTAGAGCTTACTTTTCTGTGTTAGAAATTAACGAGAGTTTTTTTTTTCCCATACACTGTCAATGGCTAGGACATATTCTATTATTATTCTTTGATTGGGCTCTAGATACAGAACTCAGCAACCAGGACTCTTAGGTACAACCTAGCCTTCTCTTTTCCTTGTGAGAGCACCCTGCACTATCCCCTAACTCTTCCTTCTTTGTGAAATTATTTTCAGATGCGGTGTCTGTCTCAGTCACCTGCTGTTATAAGATGGCTACTCAAAAGATCCATATGCGGAAGCTGAAGAGCTACAGGAGAATCACCACCACCCAGTGTCCCTGGGAAGCTGTGATGTAAGTAGACCATGCCCAGTACATCATGCTAGTTTCCTATCTGAGGTGTAATGTGGGGGGAGGGGTATGTACTTATGGCCAAGAGTCAAACAAATAGAGCATCTTTCCCGCCTGGTCCTTTCCTCACCTAGGAAAACTAAGCCCATTAGAAAATCCACAAATCCCCATCTCTCTAGAGAGACTGTACCCAATTCATTCAGACAGTAGATTGCAGAGATTCAGATAGGAAAGCAAGAACAGAGCTTTCCCCCAAGTATTCTTTCTTACACCTTTCCCAATATTCTCTCCTGACTCTCCATCTATGGATGAGTGGAAGAATTCTGAGAACCAATGGGCCATGCATGTCCTGAACAGAACCCTCAGAGCACTTTGCCTAATCATGCCCTCTCTTGACAGCTTCAGGACCATACTGGATAAGGAGATCTGTGCTGACCCCAAGGACAAGTGGGTTGAGAACTCCATTAAGCACTTGGATCAGAAGACTCAAACTCGTCATCCTTGAACCTTCATGTCTAGGCTGAGAGGCCTAGGGAAATCTTCTCTACTGTCCCCTACCCTTCCCCACGGGCAGTGCAATGGTAATTTATTATGATGTCTAAAGAGAGATGCTTTTTAATAATTTAAAACATAGTCTTGCTTGAATAATATTTAATGATATTTAAGTTATATTTGGGCCAAATAAACAATTTAATTTACAAATTGTGTATTAGTTTTTAAATGAACTCAGTTAACTTACTGGCAAAATGTGAGCATTCTCCCTTCCACCTACCTGTGGGATCATGAGATCCGCCCATGATGCATCAACATTATACAAGCTTTTGTGTTCTTAGGGAACCAGTGTTTCATTAAGTGGAGTGTGTGCTTCCTAGTGCTGTGTCTAGTGTTATTATATGGCCATGGTGTTTTCAAAGAAAAATACATATGTGTTTTTAAATACATTACTCTAATTTGGGGTAAGTTGAAAGTGAAAACCCCACAGCAACAGGTAACAGGGTATAGGACCACCCTGCATGAATGTCTTTTGGCTAGACTAAACTCCACTGAGGTTCTGGAAGAACGTGTCAGGACACGCTAGCCCCTCTAGTCCTCTTGCTCCAGCCCTCCCATTACCTGCCTTTATTCATGAGCTTCTCTAAGCTTCTTTCTCTTCTCAACACATCTGTCTTTTTAGAGTCCCTTTCATGACTTCATGCAACAGTGTAGAGACATCACTCCCTAACCTGAGGGTTTCCCATGTAATAAATCCTGCAGCCCAGAGTAGTAACATGTCAAGAGTGAAGCTAGCCCAACAAGGAAAATTAGACATCTATTTCCCACATCTATCTGAGATTCTTTAAGACTGTGGCTCCCTGACACATTTGCTATGGAAGGGTAATAGGTACAATAGACTGCAAGTGCACAGGGCTCTTCTGGGCTCTCCAGGAAAGAGGGGAAGGTACTAAGCCAGAGAGAGGAATCTAGCCAGCTGCATATCCCAAAGCTGGAGGAATTGGTGGTAGATGTTGGAAATAAAATGTTGAAGCCTTATTGTGGGGACTCTTGAACTTCAGGGTGGGGAACCGTAAGAACCCAGTAAGTGGTCTCAAACTGTAAGGACAGGGACACACTGAGAGGTAGTATGAAAAGGCGCTGTCATGTCTGAGCACAGAATGCCATGAGGAATGGCTTAGGGGCAACCACTATATTGGTACAGGAGGACCTCAACAGTCTAAGCTGGGTGCTAGCAAGGGTGAAATCAGAAATGATAGAGTGATGATGTGAGGAATGTGGTAGAAGGGAAACAATGGACACTAAATATGAAGTCATCTCTTATAGCCTCACATAGCAGGTGTTTAAGGGGCTGGCAGTTCTTAGACTCAGAATTAATTTAGTTGGGTTGTGGTCTGAATGCCTGTGCTGTTTCAAGATTCATATTGGAATCTAGTCTTAGCCACATGTGTTGAATGTATGTACTATATGAAGAGAGTAAGTTTACTTGCTTTAGACATCAAGCAGAATGTCCAAACAACACAGCACAGCCATTGGTGGGGCAGCCTAGTTAAGTCACAACACAGCAGAGGGCAAGAAAGGAAACATGCTGTGTGCCAAAGGGGCTAGGCACATAGAACAACCATGATGATTCATCTCTGTACCTTCAAGCAACTCTTAGCATCAATCTATTCACAAGGGTGAATTGTTTGCCCTCTCCCCATGGGAGAAGGTGTGCAGAATCAATGCAGAGCAAGCCATTGCCAGATACCAAGTCTGCTGCCAAGTCCGCTGGTACTGTGTTCTTCAGCATCATGAATCCAGACTTAGAGCAATAAACCTCTCTTCTTACAAGTCATTATGTCTAAGGTATTATGTTTTACCAGTAGAAATAGACTGACATAATTGTTATGGGATGATGTGAAATGTCTCTCCTAGGCTCATGTGCTTGAATACTTATTCCCTAACCAGTGGCACATTTGAGGGAAATGGTCCAACCTTGAGGGAAAGAAGAAAAACTCTAGAGGTGAGTGACATGGAACAGCAGGACATGGGAGGTTATGACCCACCTTGCTTCTTCTTGTCTGCTGCTGAAGCATATCCAGGCACAAGTTCCTAAGAATATATACCAAGCTGTTCTTATCACAATGCTATCCAAATGATGGACTGCATTCTCAACTGTGAGCCAAAATAAATCCATCCTCTTTAAGTGTTTCTGTCAGGTACGATAGGGAGGTTTCAGAATGGGTAGGAGAGAGAGACAGAGACAGAGACAGAGAAAGACAGGGAGAGAGAGTGAGAGAGAATTAGAGAGAGAGAGAGAGAGTGACCAAAAGATAAAGTGCTTGTTCCTCCATGAGGACCTGAGTTCAGATCATCCAGCTCCTACATAATGAACCAGGTATGGTAGTACCCATCTGCAGCTCCAGTGATAAAAAAGAAACTAATACAGATAATCTTTGTCCTGCAGTCTCAAGGCCAATTCCTAAGAGCTCATGAGCATCCATTGAAAAGCAAGGACTCTTCTTCCTGGCATTCTCTTTTTTCCCCTTATTTATTTATGTGTGGTGTATGTGTTTGTGCATGTCTGTGAGCAATATAAACCTAAATCAGGCAGAAGAATGAAAGTAAAACAAGAGTATAGGTAAAGAATAGAGAAAAAATCAGTGAGACCAAAGTTGGGTCTTTGAAAAGAACAATAAAAGAAATAAACCTTCATCTAGGACAGCCACATGAAATTAACAAAGGCTCAAATTACTACAGTCAGAAATGCAAGAAGGGCTATTTCTACTACTGCCATAGAAAAGACAGGGTCAGAGAGAATAAAATATTGTTGAGAACTCTTGGTCCAGAACTTGAAAGCATAGAAAACGCTGTTCAATTTCTTGAAATACACACTCTGCCAAAACTTGCATAGAGAAATAGGAATAATGAAGATATCTTTATCTACTACATAAACTGGAGAAATACTAGTCTTCCAGTCCCAAAAGCACAACAATCCCCCAGCAGATTATACCAATGAATTCTATTGAGCTCAAAGCTATAAATGATGCCCATGTGCGACAACTTCTTCCAAAACATAAAAGCATTGTGAACACTTGAAAATTCACTCTCAGAGGCCAGGAAGATCCACATAGAGACATGTTATGCTGCGGTTTTAAGAAAGAATTGTCATCTGTTTCTTCTTCCCATGTCATGGGCCAGGTGTACCTGAATCCTCCCTAGCCACCTTGTCCAGCAGAAATGGCCATTTTCAGATTCATGGGAGGTACTCTGTCACATACAGAAGTGATGAGACAGACATCCCAATGTCAATCTCTAACCACATATGAACCCATAGGTGAGCACATCCATCATGTATTAGCAAGCACCAATGTAATATACACACATGTGAAGATACACACATACATGTGCACACACACACACACACACACACACACACACACACGAATAAGATCTCAAAAGTTAAAAACTATTCAAAAACTCAGTACTGTAACCTTTCACATCAATCAGCAGAAGGGTGAGGAGAGGTCACAATATTATCAACAGATGCTGAAAAGCATTTGGCAAAAGTACATAAACATCAGGGTTCTAAAAACAAACACTTCTCAACCAATTTGGAACATAAACAAAGTTCTTCAACCTAATAAACTTCTACAACGACCTGTAGTTCATTCCCCACTCACTGTATAGTAAGACTAGCAGAACAAGGACACTCACCTCTCACCACTTTAGTGTCACATTAAGGGAAGCCTGGGCTGACCCATTAACCCAGAAAAGAAAACAGAGAGACACATAGATGATATAAGTAGATGGAAGTTAAGCTACCCTTAAGAAAAACATGGTTGACCTTTGCAGAGAACCAACAACAGATATAAAAACAAAACTCTTGTAATTAATTCATGAACACAAAAGAATTTCAGAATTGACAAGGGATATGGATTGGTGGGAAAAGCACTTGATGTCCAAACATGAGACCCAAAGTTTAGATCCCACAACTCTCACATTAACAAAAACAAGCAAACAAGCATGGTAACATCCACATGCAATGCCAGTGCAGAGCTAGGAGACAATGGGGAGATTATGGAGCTTTGCTGGCTAGCCAGCCTACCAAAAACAGCAAGATCCAGGCTTGAGGTGAGAGACTATGTCTAAAATAACAGGAAAAGAAATGAAGAAGATATCCAACTTCAACCTCTGGTCTTCATATGGGTGACCAACTACTGTCTCCCAACATGCATACACATACCCATAAATCTCATGTGCGTATGCATGTGAACACACACACACACACAGAAACAAAGGTCACAGAGCACAAAAGCCAGTGTCTAAGATTCAATAACCTTCTTGCATATCAGTAACTAACAGTTCTATCTCAAATTAATGAAAATATATGTGTATTAATGGTAATATGACTATATAGCTATATCATAAACCTACAACACAGGACTCAGTCTAAGGAAAAATGTACAACATTTATGAGAACAATTACACACCTCTGTGAAAAGGAGAATGAGCTCAGTCAATGGAGAGATCTCCATGTTCACAGGTGGGAGAACCAATACTGTCAGCCTCTAAGCTCTTCCCAAGATATCCTCTTCATTCAACATAGTTTCAATCAAAACCCCCAAGTTCTCTGATGGAGATTGATAAATTGGGTCTAACGTTTACACAGAGAGGCAGAATACCCAGATGAGTTAACACAACGCTGAAAAGTGAAGTCTGAGGACTCACAGTACCTGACTTTGAGACTTATTACACAGGCACAGTCATCGATATGCCGTGGGACTGATGGTATAATAGAAAACAAATCAATGGGACAGAAATAGATCCACACAAATTACCTTTGAAAAGTAGCAGAGACAATTCAAGAAAGAGAGGATAGTATTTTCAGCAAATAGTACTGTAGTGAATGTGGAACGTGTAAGAAGGAAAAAGAAATTAGTTACAGAGCTTTTTTTTCTTTACAAAAACAGTATATTAAATGATTCATATATGTAAGTCTATCTACTACTTAAAGTTCAAAACTACATAACTTCCAGAAGGTAAAATTGGAGAAAATATAGGTAACTAACTCTCTTAGTTACTTTGTTGGAACAAAAATACCCCGACAAAAGCACAAGGCATTGACAACGCCTCTGAAGGGCTAAAGGGTTTGCTTTGTTCTAGTGTTTCAGAGCATAGACAATTCACCATGGTGAAATAGGCATGGTGGGGGAATAATGAGGCCT